AAAAAAGAAAAGAAATCTATGTCCTCAAGGAACTTTCCATCAAAATAACAGACTGAAATACACAGTGCCTGTGGTAGGCATTCACTTGGTGAATGAATGGTAAAATCCAAAGGAAATTATCCCACAAGTGAAGTGAAAGACTTCCAGTGCTACCCACAGCTGAGAGTTAATAGGCCAGCTCTCCAGTCGTTAGGAGGTTGTTCAGACGATCACGTTCTATGGTCAAACTGGAAAAAGCCGCTGTAAGTTGATGGCAGTACCTCCTAGTAACTCAGGCAAAATTCTGGAGAAGGGGCAGTTGCTGGGGAAAGGAAATGTGAGGTATGAAGATAAGTTCCACGACCAAAAAGCAAGTGTTCACATTTTCACAGTCACTGAACTGGCCTTGCATTACCTGTTTAGATAACTGAGAATGTAAACCAGAGATGGAGGTATCGGTGGTGAGGGGTAAAGGCAGACGTTCCTGCCTGAGACTCAAAGGGAGCCATCCTCCTCTTCCTGTTGAGAATGATGCAATCGTTACCCTGAAAAGCAAGTGCAAAAAAAAAAAAAATAGATTACATTTGTTTGTGAGCTACCTTTGTGTGGAGAATGTTCTTCTTCATTTTAATTGTACTTACTTGACAGGAACCTTTTTCTTTCCCCATTTGACCACATGCACCAACTACGCATGATAATTTTTAAAGACTTCACAGCAAACAGAGCAAGCCTCAAGATTTCTAAAAGGTGAAATGACATGAACTCTTTTCTCTTGAATAGAATAAATGCCAACTCAAGTTCTTTGATATTTTTCAGAGAGAGGGGTGGAGGAGAACAAGAGGGGGAATGCTTACATCTGTGACTTAAAAAACCACTTGTTTTGTAACTCTCTGCCTTTCATTATTTTACTGTTATCTTTTGATGTTTGCTTTCTTCATCTTTTAAATCAAATCTTCATTCAGTTCATGGAGCTAAAATCATTGAGATTTTCTGTAGGGTTCATGAGAGGGAAATAGACACAAAAGTTAGGATGGTTTTCTCCACATTGAGATTCTAGCATCTTTAAAATTTTCTTTATACCTTTATGGATATTTCTGAATTATGAACATATAGGATTTCCCTTAACCCCTGTCCCTGCTCCCTCTTCTTTCTGCCCTCATTATGCCAGGTAGACCCTGAGGTTGGATGAATTTACCTTGTGTATGGTTGTGTATGGAGAAGCTTACTGTCAAGAAAATCATAACTGGAACGTCTGCCTTGGACTACTCTTTGATTGTGTGCCCTTTGGCATTTAACTTTGCTAGGCCTCAAACTCAGGAAATCAAAAAGCGTATCGCGATGGGAAAGTCTGCTGTTAGGGACCTCTCAAAGGTACTCAGGAGCAACAGTGTCTCTCTGGAGACTAAGGTGCGCCTGATTCAGGTCATGGTATTTGCAATCGCTTGTTATGCATCAGAGAGTTGGACAATGACTAGGGAGGACAGAAGGAGAGTGGATGCTTTTGAGCTGTGGTGCTGAAGAAGGGTACCGAATGTACCATGGACTGCCAGGGAAACAAACAGATTCATCTTGGAGAGGATTAAACCAAGCTACTCCTTGGAGGCAAGGATTCTGGGGCTTCGTCTGACATACTTTGGACATGTTGCCAGGAGGGACGGCTCCTTGGAGAGGGACATCATGCTTGGGAGGGTGGAGGGATAGCGCAGGAGGGGAAGACCCTCTATGAGATGGATTGATTCGGTGACTGGGGTAATCGGGATGGGTGTGTCAGAGGCGGTGTGGTTGGCACAGGATAGAGCAGGGTTTAGGGCTGTTGTGCATAGGGTCGCTATGAGTCGGAAACGACTCGATGGCACATAACAACAACAACAACAACAAGGCCTCAAACTCACACTGTTGCTCTCTGGATGGTTCTAACTCTCCATTGGGTTTATGAGGTTGTAAACTTCACAGGGAAATTGCCAATCTTTCTCTTTTGGGATAGGTCATAGATCCCAAATGCACGAGCGACTTGGCTTTTGGGTTGGTAATACATGTCTCTAGGGACTACACTACCCAAGCTCCCTTTGGTGTCTGTCTCTGTTATAAATTAAATGGTTCCTACGATGTTCTCTTAAATGACTTAAAGCTTTAGTGACCTGTGAGTCTACCTGAAAATTTAGCTTGATACAAAGGGCAATTTGGCAGTGTCCACCGAAATTACAACTGCATATACCTGCTAACCCAGGGATTCCTTCTACTTGATACACTGCACAGGTGCAAAGTGACAGTTGTACAAGGTTACTAGTTATGGAGTTGTTCGTGACACCTAATGATTAGAAAGCAACCAGATGTTCACCAGTATGGGATGGAACGTACAAGCAATGGGATAGGATGGCAGCTATTAAAACAGAATGAAAACTTTTCGAATATATTTAAAACATTTGCTTGAACTATGTGAGAAACAGAGGTTGCTGTCAGTTCTTTGTGCCTGTTTCACGTTTTGTGTTTTTCCATTTTAAAGACCAAACAAAAGCAGATTAGGACATTTAAAGGAAAATATTAGGCATAACAGCAGAACAGATCTCAAGGATGGGGGAAGTGCAAGAATCTGTAAGGAAATGCTCTTAACCAAACACCGAGGCCCCTGAAAACTGGAATTGAGCTGAAGGAAGCAGGGGGCTTTCTTTGCAAAGATATCCTAGGGGCAAAGTGGGTCCATCTTTATCTGCTAACCCGAAGGTTGTCAGTTTGAACTCAGCTGCCTTTTTAAGACAGGCAGAAAGATGGGGCAGTCCACATGTGTAAAGATCGACAGCCTAGGAAAACCTTTGTGCTCTTTATGGGTTTTCTTTCGCTGAGAATGATTCACTATGGCACTGTCTGCAAGGAAGAGATGGTCCTTTGAATGAGGTTGTCTCAGCAGCGTGTATTTAGAAGAATGGGGGGTTCGAGCAGTTCTGCATTAGGCTGAGCTCAGAATCTGTGTTTCTGAGGTCCTCTAGTGGCTGGCAGGAGAGGCCCAAGGTTGATCCATAAGCCTCCTGACCACAAGAGGAGAGTAAAGATCAACTCCAATCCCCAATCCATGCTTTTACCCCTCACCCACACAGGGCCAGTATCCGTAGAAAGTCGTCGCGGTCAATGGATTAGGAAGAAACAGTTCTGCATTAAGGGATGACAGCAAGAATGCACAAGAGGCATAATCAATCCCTTTTAAATGTTTAAAATTTTAATAAAATGGAAACCTCCCTCCCTTTTTGCTTAGATGTCACTTTTTCATATGAAGAATTGCCTGTAAGAAAGGGAGAGGATTGTTTAAGAACTGGGAACTGTCAATTTGGCCAAGACACTGAAAACGCTATCTTCCATCCCGAAAAAACGATCCCTCCTAAAAGGAAATGGCTTCCATATTCCTCCTAAAAAATGAAAAACTCCAAAAACTTGGAGAACGGTTTCTCCAGCTCCGAGACACAGGGTTATTGTCTTCCCACCTTTGGCCCCGCGGATTCTCCATAGACGTTTCAGACCCGGGGTCCAAATGCGGGAAGGTGTGGGGGTGGGGCCTATGACGCACGGGGGCCAGCAGCCTGCGGGGTCTCGGGGGTGCTAGCCTGTGCTCCCCCAGGCTTTGGGTCCTCCTTGCACTTTTGCTCAACACCTCATCCTTTCCATTCTAAAAAACAACCAAACCCCAACGAACCAGCCAAACTTCATTAGGAGCAAGCAATCCAGCGACCATATTCTTGCTGAATGTTTCCCTTGACACCCCCCCGCCCTGCGCCGCCTTCCGCTAAAGATGGGGGTGCTGAGTCCGAGGTTCCCACTGGAATGGTGTGGCGTCCGCGTGGAATAATAATTTCCCCTTCTTTGTGGCTTTTGGGGTCTGGGGTCGGCCGCTGAGGGTTGGGTGAACAGCCCCTGGAGGCTCGGCACCGGGTGCGCACAGGTGGTCCCTGCGCCGAGGCCACCACGAGGGCGCTCGCGGGGCGGACCAGGCGGCCAGGGTCCAGCGGCCCCGGGGCGTGTGCCACCCGCGCCGGGGCCCAAGGGCTTGATCGAGATCAGGAGGAAACGTTGAAACAACAACAAACCCCACTGCCTTCCCCACGTCTCTCTGCAAAGAAGTCGTGGGTGGAGCCGAGAGGGGGCGCGTGAGCAGATTTCGCGAGGCCGCCTCCGCCCCTGCTCCCCGGTCTCCGCCCGCCGCCCGCCCGGGGCCCCGCGCGGAGGTCGGGCGGAGCGAGCAGTCGCCCGGCTGAAGCTCGCCGAGTACTCGGCTCTGCTCTCAGTAGTAAACAAAGTGCTGCCGCCGCCTCCACGCTGGTGTGCCTGTTAGGAATCAAAACACTGAGAGGGCGAGAGACTCGCAGACGCACTCGAGAACTACCAGAAAATAATAACAAGAGATTAGCAGGAAAAAAAGTGAGTGTGTGAAAGAGAAAAACACCCCACTACCCCCCACCAACCTACAGCCACCTCCCGGTGGAAACCGCGCCCCGCCCAGCCTGCCGCCCATTGGCTCCTCGGACGGCACCGCAGCGCGTCCATTGGCCACGCCGACTGCCAGTCGGGGGCGGGCCAGCGCGCGCGCGGCCGCGGGCGGGGGGCGGTGGCAGATCCCGTAAGTGGGGCGGCCGCGTAGTCGCAGCAGCCGCCGCCGCCGCCGCCACATTCAACAGGCAGCAGCGCCACCGTCGCGCCGCCGGTGAGAGCGAGCGAGCCGCCCGCGGCGTCCGTCCGTCCGTGCTTTCTTCCGCGGGCCCTGTCAGCAGGCGCCGGGGCTGTCCGGCAGCTCCGGCCCGCTGTCCCGTCCGTGCAGCGGACCCCGAGAAGCCTGGTGTTGATGGACTCGCCAAGTTAAGTTCTGGGCTCGCGCTTCCTTCTCCTCCGCGCTCGTGCCTCCCGGATTCCGTCCGCTCCCGGCAGCGACCTCGCCCCCAAATCTCGGACGGGCTCTGGGTGCCCCTCCCCCGCCGCCACCCCGCGCTGCGCTCTCCCCGTCTTCGCTTTCTCGCGGCGGGGGAGGGGCGGGGGTCACCATGGCCGAAGCGCCCCAGGTGGTGGAGATCGACCCGGACTTCGAGCCGCTGGCGCGGCCGCGCTCGTGCACCTGGCCGCTGCCCAGGCCGGAGTTTAGCCAGTCCAACTCGGCCACCTCCAGCCCGGCGCCGTCGGGCGGCGCGGCCGCCAATCTCGACGCCACGGCGGGCTTACCCGCGGGCTCGGCGGCCGCTGTCAGCGCCGACTTCATGAACAACCTGAGCCTGCTGGAGGAGAGCGAAGATTTCCCGCCGGCGCCGGGCTCCGTGGCGGCGGCTGCTGCTGC